CTTCAAAAAATTGATATGTGCTTCTGTTTATTCATACAAAATTATAACCTTAAAAATTACGTAATTTTTAAGGTTATAATTTTTTATTTATGTTTCAAACCCTATTTTTTTCACAACAACTACATTCTTTACAGAAATTTCCTAAGAATAGGAATGTCTTGAAATCAAATAAGAAATATATTCAAATTTTTTTAGTACTTTCCGATAAGATTTTTTAAATTGCTATCTTGTGACTTATCTAAAAATTAAAAATATTTTCGCATAATTCTGAAAAAATTCTGAAGTATTTCTTAATCTATATAATTGATATAATGCCAGCAACATATCAAAAAATATTAAGAGAACAAACAGTCGAACTAGGAAAAAAATTCAACCGAAAAATTTAGCTTTTTTTTTATTTTTGACTTTTCGATGATAAAACCTTTTTTGTGAGACATTTAACCGAAATGAGTACCCTCGAAAACGTAGAGAACAAAGTTCTTAAATTTTTTTTGTTCAAATTCATTGCATGGCAACTATTCAAACGAAAAAACGTCCTGTTGGTTTTAATGGGTTAATTAATTTTAGTTAAAATATTTTTTCGACAAATAATTTATAATTTATTGATCTGATTTTTATGTAGGCATAATTAGGAAGTGATAAGTGATATTTATAAGCCATTTACAACTTTATTTACTAATAAATAAGATGGTTGAATATAAATAACTTTTTTATATCAATTCCTTCAATTAATTGCCTCCAATCCAAGCAAGAACAAAAATTATTTTTTTTAAATGACATGAACGTTGTGTTCAATTTTTCAATTTTTTTTCTTATTTTAAAACATTTTGCATTTAGATTTGGAAATAGTGAGAATGATTGTTCTCGTTCAAAAATGAACAGCAGTCAATTTGAAGTGTGCAAATTGAAGGTCTCGTACGACGCTGGTAGGCAAAAGCGTGCGATAGGGCGTTAATACAATAGTTTTTTTGGTGATAAATCATTTTACAATTTAATGACAATACTCTTTATATATCGATTGTTCAATCACAAAAAAATAAAAATTTCCCATTACTGTAGAGTATGGTACACTCTTCGAGAATTTTTCAGGTAAAGTACTATCATTTGCCACACGATGTTCAAGTTGCAGAATGTACAAATTTAGTTATCGAAAAAATGAACACTACTATTCAAAACATTACGAAGGCTCTGCTAAAGGCATAGATTCTGATATGGAAACAGATAATTAACTACTCAACAATAAAATGCGATAGTTAAAGTTTTGATTGGAGATGACGATTGCAGTACGATAGCTACCTAACCGTGAAGTTTCTGATCACGTAATTGTCAAATGGTGGGACATAAATCACACACATAAATTTCTTACGTCTTTACATAACATCAAGCTAAATCCAACATTGATAGAATATTTTTCACGCTGTTTCTCATACGCAGTAAAGAAAAATAAAGAAAATGCGAGATATAGCTTTTTTTATAAAAAAATCGTTTTTTTTTTCATCAGTTCATATCTCGACTGCTATGCATTAAATAAAAAAAAACTTTAAAGACAAAAGTTGTTTCTTTTTTGATAAAGAATACAAAAATAAAGTGAAAACTAAGATCTAGAACAAATTTTTTTTTTATTTTTTCACACTAGCCATTTATGTTATAAAAAATTATATTTTCGTTACTTTGAAAGTATTATATTATTTTTGTAAAATTTTGTTTTATTACAAAAAAGTTCAATTATATTTACATAATAATAATATGATAATAAACAATAAGCATGTATTACTTTATAAGTGTCTAGAAATTATTTATTTATTTATTTATTGATAAACTTAACTATAATTTTATTATTAAAAATTTGTTTGAGACTTTTGATCATAATTAAATTTAAAAAAAATAAAGAATATGAAAAATAAAAAAATGGCTTGCGTGAATAAATTAAAAAAAAAAATTTGTTCCAGATCTTAGTTTTCGCTTTATTTTTGTATTTTTTATCAAAAAAGAAACAACTTTTGTTTTTAAAGTTTTTTTATTTAATGCATAGCAATCGAGATATGAGCTTCGCTTCGCTCGGGCGTAAACGCCACACGAGACAAAAATCTACTTTCCCGCACTTGTATCGTAATGTACTATTTTTTTATAAAAAAAGTCATATCTCTGTATAAAAAAATAAAAAATGAACCGTTGAATTGCGTAGCAAATAAATAAATTTGTATATGGGCAAAAAAAAAGAAATTTTTTATGTTCATTTTTTAAGCATAAAATACTTAATTCTAGTACAAACAATATTATCTTCACGTTACTTAAAGCTTTTGCTATTACTTTTAATATGGTATTCTACGACTCTTTTTCGTTGAGATATAAAACTTTAAAGTTTGGTAAATTTCGCCTCAGGGTGGGCAAAAGTACGTGCCGGGCACTGTAGCTGCGGCAATTTGTCAAATGTATATTTTAATGAAAAGTTTCAAATTACAATTAGAAAAAAAATACTAAACTTAAAAATCAAAAAGATGTGAAAATATTAAAAGATCAGTTCGCAAAAGAAATAATCATATTAAAAAATAATATTAGTCAGATATGCCAATTGATTTAAAGTCAATTTATATAATTATTATTATATCTATAATTTGATTTGTAGATCGTAAAGTATACCCCAGAATAATCGTTTGATATTTATGTAATAACTTCAAGACCAGTATCAAACGAGCAATGGAAGTTACTGACTTGAAGACTATTGATGGGGATTGATACCTGTATGATGCAAAAGTACAATCTTTGCCTGTTAAAATGGCATTTGAATATTTTTTGAAGTGCTTAACGGTTTTCGCTATCCAGTTATTTTAATAGCGCATAATGCAGTTAGATAATTTTATATCTATAACTTGTCAGTAAAATCGATAAGTCCATTTTTTCTTTTCTTAAAATACATTTCAATTTTCACATTAACTTTGTCTTATGAGAAAATAATATTTTAAGATACATTTTCAACAATTTTAAAAATATTAGATTATTTTTTATTATACGATGATGATTTTTAAATTACAGATTTTTATATTAACACTAGCTTTCTCCATTCAAATAGTAATTTTGAAAAAGTTGACTTATTTCGTTTCTTGAGAGTTCCAAATATACGTAATTTTGATATAATTAAATGCGGTTTTTCCAAATACGGATTTAATGCTCTAAGAATTATAAAACTAGCAAGTCAACTTAAGTGAAGAAAAGTTAAGGAGTTAAGGAACGAATAAATTTTCTATTGAGTTATTCTATTGAATTAGCTAAAGATTTTTTGCTTAATAAAGACAGAAGCAAATTGTATAATGCTCTTGATGATGTAAAAATGCTTGCCGAAATAATCAATAAAATTAGTTTTAACGATGTTTTTATCAAAACATATTTCGAGACTGTAGTAAAAATGTTGCGTGGAGATAAAAATAAACAATACTAGAAGCAAAGTTATCTTTGCACAAATATAGTGATAAAATTATAAAATACAAATTACAATAAACTAAGTAGTAAAATCAGATTACTTATTTTATTAACAGAGAACGTAAATGATAAACCTTGTGTATTAACTTCATCGAGAATATTAAATTCCTATATATCAACTGTCCTGAACAAGGAAAAGATAATATATGTTCAAAAATTAATTTTATGTATTTTATGGAACTGAATGTGGTATTTGAGTTATATTTTATATTTATATACGAAAAAATTATCTAAGATTTAAAAAATACTCAAGTGATAAACATTATTTACTTTATACATGTATATATGTAATATAAACGCAACCTAAAATAAACAATGTTTTATATTTTTAAGCAATAAAAATTGAACATATGAAATGACAAGTATTTTGTTTAGTTTTATATAGTTTATACTACGTATCTGGAACTTTTTTGTTTACATACAGTAATGCAGTGAATAAATTGTCTATTTAATTATAATTCGAAAATCTACTTTATTATATTACCACAAATTTATTATTATTCGATGAGTTTTTAAAAAGAATTATTTTGTGTGCTATATAACACTCGTAACGTTGTAGTCTCATAATGTCAAGCACCACAACATCAAATCCACGGCAGGTAGAACTTTGCTGTATAAAGTATACAGTAACCCAAAAACTTCAAATGTAACAACGTCAAACCTACGATAGGTAGAACTGCGTTCAAGCTTACTGCTTACTTAGGTTTTGAAATAACTATACCTGTCGTGGCTTTGATGTTATTGAATTCAAGGTTATAGGGTTAGAGCTTACTTGGGTTTTGAAAAGCCCTACCTGTCGTAAGTTTGATGTTATAGTTTTTGAGATTATAGATTTATAGCGTATTCGAACTTATAATGCCTTGTTTATCAGAAATAAAGATGAGAAAAGAAATTTCACATGCGTATTCTTTTATACATACATCATTACAAATCTTGCAATTTTATTTTTTTCAATCAGCGCAATATCTCTGATTTCAAAAATTGAAATCATAAATAGAAATAGTGAAAAAGAAAGAAGAAAAGTTACTCTTTCCAGTAGTTTTATTGGGTTGTAAAAATAATGAAAATTTGCGAAGTTATTGGTGCCCAAATAAAGCGAAAAATTATGTCTTTTGTACTTTTAGTTTAAGATTACTCAAAATCCTGACGTGGTGGAGCAATTCTGAGCTTGGATTCGGTTTCTCTGAAAATGACTATCAGCTATTCCATAAAAAAACCATGTAAACTTGTGTTATTACAGTAACATTGTATGGTGACTGTTTATTTTGCTCAGATAAAATTATTGATACAATTTTCTTTCAGAAATATAATTTTTGTTAACTTTATCAACCAGTCAACCATATTTTGCTTTATTATTTAATAATCAATGATTAGCAAAAATATGAACGTCATCTGATGTATATTTTAGGAAAAAATATGCACCAAAGAATAAGTCAGCGAAACAAAAGTATGGCAGTTTTTGGTTAATAATTGTAAACTAAAACAATTAAGTATCATGTACTTATATAGCATGGCATATACGATTAGCAACTTATTTTCATCATAAATACCAATCTAGTGTCAATCTGAAGTAATAAATAAAGTTAATAATGATTAACAACAAGCGCCGGAATGGGACTTACCTTCAGAAAGCACCGGCCTGCGGGAAGGTCCTCTGGCAAACTGATATTGTAGAAGGGTCGCTCGAAGATGGGCTCGTTATTGTTAAGCCCGTGTACAATGAGCTGGACAGTAGTAGTTGCTGTAAAGGCGGGGCTGCCACCGTCGACGGCTATGATGAGCAACCTTGGCGCCGGGTCGGCCTCACAGTCAAGTCGTGCTAGATTGGTGAGCAGGCCCGACTCCGAATCCAAACCGAAACTAGCGGTGGTATTGAGCAATGCGTATCGCACTCGAGCGTTCGGACCCTCGTCGGGGTCATGAGCGTGCACGCGCAAGATCGAAGTACCGGGCTCCGTGTTCTCGAGCAGGCTGATTTCGTAGCACTGACGCTCGAAATGCGGTGCGTTATCGTTAACATCCGTGACAGCGAGACGAAAGCTGCGGCTCGCCCGCAGTGGTGGGTTGCCCGCGTCGCTGGCTTCAAGAACCAGCTCGTAGGAGGCGCAAAGCTCACGATCGAGAGACCGCGTAGCGGCCACCACCACTAGGTAAATCACGCCGTCACGACTTGCAAGGCCGAAATGGCCCTCCCCGCCATTGAGGTTGAGGCTTGCATTGGCATACTCGGCTCGCGAATCCGGGTCGCTGACTGATAACCGGGCTACTAGCTCACCCGGCTCCGCAGCTTCACTCACCTTGGGTGTGGCGTCGTCCGATAGAAAAATTAGCGCGATAATCGGCTGATTGTCGTTGACGTCAGTAACACATACGCTCAAGAAAGCCGATGCCTCGAGCGGTCGAACGCCTCGGTCGCGTGCCACCAATACGAGCTCGTGATGCTGGCGCGATTCGAAGTCAAGGGGTCGCGAGAGTAGCACCAAGCCGCTGTCAGGCTCGATGCGAAATACGCCGTCGCGATCCGACTGGCGACGGTTGATCGAGTACTCGATGTGACCGTTATCGCCAGAATCGGCGTCGCGGGCCTCAACTTGTAGCACCGGCGTACCCACACTCGCATTTTCCGATAGCTCGGCCGTGTAGCGCAATCGTGACCAAACCGGTGGATTGTCGTTCACGTCCTGCACTACCACGTCTACATGTAGCCGCGAGCGCAGTGGCGGCTCGCCGCCATCGGAGGCCTCGACAAGTAAACGGTAGGAGGCGCGCGTCTCTCGATCGAGCGCGCGCGCTTGTTGTAGGTCCAGATAGAGCACGCCATCACGACCGCGCTGCGAAACCAGCCGGAATGCTTGCTCTTCATTGCCCGCGACGATATCATAACGCTGAGTGGAAAAGCGCCCGAGGTCCGGATCCTTGGCAGGAGGCAGCGCGCGCTTCGAGTCTAGTGGTGAGTTCTCTGGGAACTCCAACTGCAGCGTATCCACCGGAAAGCTCGGTACATTGTCGTTTTCGTCGAGCACACGTACTATCACACGTACGTTTTGCGGCAGAGCCACCATGCTGTACGAGTCGCGATTTTCGCGATCCAAAACTGCGCGGGTGCGGATTTCACCGCTGCCGGGTTCCACCTGCAAGTCCGAGTCAGCACGCGAGCCTGGCACCGGTACCACTAGATACGGCGGGCTGTCAGCTTCGATAAAACCCACTCGCGTGCCCGGCGGCGCATTCTCCAACACCTCCAAGTACTGCACAAGCTCGCCTACCGCCGCTTGCCAACAGCAGCTTAGCCAACAGTACAATCCGATCAGCACAAATCCGCGCCTCATTGCTGTGGCTTGTGACATTGTCATGCTTGCTGCTGGTCTCTGCTTAATTGTTTCCTTTGCTTTCGTCTCGCATCAACCTCCATCCACGCCACGTCGATCGTTCGTCATACTCAGTCGTTTCAAGCCCCTAAGCCTTCTCCTACGAATTGTCCTGAACGTACGACATTCCACAACGCTCATACGCTCCTCTGCGCTGCGTGCGCTCTAACAGATTTATGTCGGAATGAGGGGGCAATGTGCCCTGCTACGAGGACGATCACTCAGCTTCGTGAGTAGTACACTACCTGCTAGCTCTCCCTCTCTCCTCCTTTTGCTAGCGTTCTTCCCTTTTCTCCTTTCATTTACTTCATTCTTTTCACCTTTTCACTCCATGATAGGCACAAACTCATTCTTTTTTTGTCGTCACCAAATACAAATCTCAATTCAATCACTGGTTATATATGCTACGACACAGCAGTAATCTTGTGATTCACGATTATCACAATTATCACGTGGTCGACCACCTTAAATAATAACCAACAGTATCGTTTCCATTTCAGTATCAATGTTAAACATCATACAACTTTTAAAAGATCAAGTCACGTAGTTCTTTCTCGCATTTCCAGCTACATGCAAGAGTATTTTATGTACACTTTGACTTTGAGACGGTTCCGATCACTTAAAAATCATAATCGCACACGAGCACTAGGCAAAACAGTAGTCCTACTGCTAAATAATTAATTGGAAAGAGCCTACTAAATATATTAAGATGAATGAGCATATCTACTATAAGCAACTCGGATGCTATGCCTGCACTGACATGGCGGCACCTGTGGTACGTACCAGTGGATCCCTTCCCTTCTCCTTCTTCAGTCGCCTGCTCCAGCTTGTATTCTCTCATTCTCTGTCTACTAAAAGCAGCCAGAGGGCTCTGTTCGGCACTTCGTAAGCCACTGGACCCAACAGTAGACTTTTAGAGAGGGGATTCTGGGTCCTCACTATATGAAGACTAGATATCGTAGTATCCGTAGCTCTCGATTAGTTTCTTTCTCTTCCTCTCTTCCTGCCGCTGTCGCCACCATACCTATACCTATATATATATTAACATATACAATACAACTAGATTTTTCGAAACAATGGTTGAAATTTGTTTAAACTTTAACTATTGTTATTTAAAATTTGTTTTAACAAATTATAAAAAAAATGTTTTTTTTAGATAGGTAATTTTAAAAAATATGCCTAGCTTACTTTACTACTAAAAATTAAATGTTAAGTAAATTTCTCGTAAAGCGTACATGAACATTGAATACAATTTATCGTTTTTCTCTAACTTTGAGATTCAATGACTTTTTATTTACGGTCAATATTATTTAACAAGGAAAGGATGTATGAATCTTCTACAACTTAGTTAGTGCAACACTGTCGCGGGTATATAATTATCCATCGCAAAAAATGAGTTTGCAGAAAATCTATAATAATGTTGCATGATATTAATTTATATAGATCCTAAACATAAGTATGTTCTTTACTTTTCAAGAAATATTGAATATAAATCAAAACTTATTAAAACTGAAAATCAGTTAAAAACACTAACCCTTAGTAATAGTGTTCTCTATAGTGTACAATATTTTAAAGTGTTAGCAGAATTAAATAAAGACTAGGTTTAATTTTTAAATTATACAAATTACATAAAGAATTGATATTTAGTTCTCTATATTTAATAAATTAAATTAGTTAAACCAAAATTAAAACCACTTAAAATTATGTTTTAAGCATAAATAAGAATCTATATTTGTATTAACGATGTCCCTATAAAGCTGTGTGACTCTAAGAGTTAAATTTTTGAACTTTTTAAATTTATAACTTTTGAAATATGTATTTTACAAAATTTTACTATTTATACCTTTTTATAGTAAAATAAGGCATATTTTCTGAAAAAATTAAAAATATGTTTGCAGTTTCAAGTAAGTATAATTTCTTTATTTTATCTGTATATTTTCTCTATTACCCTATAATACCAGATATTTTCATTTGTTTGCTTCTGTAGTTTAATTTGAAAATTAGAGGCAATATCAGAAAAAATCTTTTTAAATTAATCTATTTATTCGTAGGCTTAAATAATCACGATCGTTTTTTTCGATTACATCATTGACAGGATAAAAATGGATTTATTAATTACCTCGAAATATTGTATTAAATAATTTTTTGCAAAAGCTTCCTAGATAACTTTCTTCATTCATAAGTTCAAAGTTATTATTTTATATGAACATTTCACTTATTCAGTTGGTTACCATTAAAACATAATAATATACTTGTTTTTATTTATTTATTTTTTATTTACCAAACTAAAAATACATAGGTACATCCATCATTCTGTTCTCTATATGAACGTTTGAAATTAGCCAAAGTTAAAATAAACATAGGTTCCAAGTTACCGACAAAGTTTTTATTTTCGATAATATACAATCAATGATTGATCGAAAAAGAAATGTGAAGATTTTCAGAAGTGAAATTTTCATATGTTTGTATCGTGACTGGTGGTTTGAATTCCACCTGAAACTCAAAGTCTATAGTCATGATGCATATAGAACTTTCTCCTCCTACACTATTTAAAAAAATAGTAGGAGAGGTAGGTCTACATAATACTCATGACTATAGGGAACCAAAGCTAATGCGTACTTGCACCTATATAATGTACCTCTGTGACATCCCACGTGAACCTAGTTCTTGAAGTCATAATACCAATAACAATAACTTAATCATAAAAATATACATTGTTTTATAAATCTTCCAAATATTATTATGAATCAAAATTTAAGAAATATATATGCATTTTTGAGTCATGACGTTTATTTTTAATCAATATGTGCGTGGGTTTAAGTGCGTGTGTGTGCTGGTATGCACTGTGCAGGCATACATGCATGTATGTAGCAGTATAGTATAAATATATTATTCGAAACATTCATTGAATATTGAAAGCTATCGAGTTTTAATAGAAAACTTTAGTATGTCCTTCATAGACTTAATTGACACATATACCCTCAGTCCTCATTAATTAGCATTTCTTTCACAACAAAATGGTGATTGCTTTGGTAACATGAACACTGTTATTTATTATAAATTTTTATAAAAGTTTTGTTTCTTACATATGATCTCACCATACGTCAGATCATATGTGAGGATAGTTTTATGCATCACATCTTTCATAAGAATAGAATGCGAGTCATTTTCGTATATTTCTTACCTTAGATCTTGCATGAGAACAGGTTCAAGCATAAGAAATAGGGGGAGCGAAAACATCCTATCGGATCTAGCGATGTTTGTTACATTAGAACTGATGTAAGAATTTTTAGTAGACTAGCTTAATTAGAGGGAAGCAGTCCAAAATCTTTAATCAAATTATTTGTTATAAACAGTATTGAAGTAAACATTTTGAATTCTAACTACTCTATTTGAAATAGAACGTACGTATATGTTAGTGAGTTTGAATAGTATTGTATAAATTTGAATATTTTTAAATAATTTTAAGTATTTACAATAGAATTAAATAGCAATCAATCTTTTTCAATGACAATCAATCGATATAAATAGGTAAAAATTCAAACCATCGTACATATTACAATTTTCAATTATAGATAATAGTCTTTATTTAATATATATACATTATATATATATTTACAAACTCCATAGAAAATAAATATACAAATTTTGTACACAATGTGTCCGAAATTGTGGCAAGAATATGTACAAAATTTATACGAACTTTATACAATATTCATACAAAATTCGTACAAATTTTATACTCAATAATTGACTTGTCCTTAACAATTGAAAAATAACTAATACACGTTCATTACGGATGAAATAACATAGACAGCATCCATAAAATATGAATTACATACGAAAAAATTTAAAAAAATTAAAAAATATATCGATCTGTTCAAGAATTTAACCCAGCCCAGCTCTAGATCTTCATGTTAACAGACTTGTACTTTACAACTTTACTATCGATAGCTTTTACAATATAATTTTTTATTCCCTATTACATGCAATTTGAAAATTGTATATGATTTATTCGATCGTATTTAATAAACTGTATTTTTACTGCGGTAATATCAATGAATTTAAATTTAACAAAAAAATATAAAAGAATAAAAAAAACATACACACACACATACACCTCCGCTTACACGAAGTTACCCATTCTATAGTCGATTGCACTAAATGTAAACACTTTTATAACTCCGGTCGAAGTCATGCGAAACAATTTTTGGTACATAGCTTAGAAAAGATTTTGGAATGACTTTCAATTGCCGGTGCAGAATTAAAATATATTTATTTCAATAAAGTTTTTAGAGTGGTAGAAAAAAAGTTTTTTCATAAATTTTTTGTTCACGTTTTATTAGCTGTCAATCATGGATTAATTTATAAAATAAAGCGCTACCTGTTTTGAATCCAAGCTGGGTTGTTACATAGATACATGTGGATTTTATATGAAATTAAAGTTGTTTTCGATGATGGATTTCCAGGTGGATGTTTTTAGTAAAATTCAAGTATATTTCTTGTGAAATCAAGGTGGATTTCTTACAAAATTCAGATGTACTTTTTGTAAAATTAAGTCATAAAATTAAGTCATGAAATTTGTCATAAAATCCAAATGTATTTTTTGCAAAATTCAGATGGATTTTTTTTTTCTAAATTTTTTCTAAATTTAGGTTGATTTTCTGGCAAATATGTATAGATTTTATCGTGATTCCGGATGGATTTTCGTGAAATCCAGGTCAATTGATGGAAAATCGAAATTAATTTTTGAATCAATATAAATAAATGTCGTAATGATGGTATATCAATTTTTGTGATAGTCTAGGAAAATGTTTAAGAATTGAGGTGGATTGCCTTATTAATTCTTTAGAAATGGATATAAATTCAAGGCTGTATTTTGACTGATCATATGCATACTGTGAATGTTGTACAAGATTTTCTAAATAAAATGTTTATATAAGCATAATAAATCCTAATCAGGAATTCTTTGTGCCAAGTGTAACAATTGATGAACATTGTACGTCATGACATCAGCTGTATAAAAAAGTTCCGTCTGAGCAATGAACGCTTTTAAAAAAAAAATCTGCTCTTTGCAAGTTAGTTACAGTTATTTCAATTTGCAACATTATAGAATAGACTTTTTAAACGTCGGAATTTCCTATGGCATAATTTGTCATATTGGTATACTATACAGTAGAATCCAATTTGACCATTCTACCCTTTTCAATAATGACGATAACTTATTGAACGTGTCAATCAAGTGAATTATGGAGATACTTTGACCTTTCTCATATACCAATCAATGATTTGTATTTTACTTTATGGGATCCAATAAGGCTCCTTTGATAAAGCAAACCAATTGTTGAAAAATTGTTTGCCTATGTCTATAGATCGACGCAGTACATCAAACATGGCACAAAGTCATCTATTATATAAAAACTATTTAAAAGTAGTAGAGAAGTAACGTATTTTTTCTTTTTTTAACCACTAGTACAGCTTAAGAATTACATTCTATCTATATAATATGTTGATTTTAAATAGTTGCAAATATAAATAGTTACTCAACAAAGTAGTTGTTATATACAGAAAATATTTCGTTTACCTGCAAAAATTGATTTTTATACCATAATTTCAGAATATAACACGTAGTATGATGAAATACGTATTGCATTCAGTGGCTGACATTTATAGTTATTATATTAGACTGTAACGAGTCGATTTGAACCTCACGCCTTTTCACATTTGCGTGTGTGCGTACGTGGATTCGTTGCGGATTACTGCGCATGAGCGTGAGTTAAATAAAATCAACGAACATCATGGCTTGCTCGCTTTGTTCGATCTGCCGTCCCGCCAACGTAACTGCATCTCGTCGCACTTGCCGCCGTCTCCGAAGTGGGATCCATGGCAAGGTCAACTCCGAAATTGTCATCTCTGTGATGTAACGAGATTGGAAATCATCATCTCGGAGCAAATCATCAATGACAGGCATCGGAGGGTCATGTGTCTAGTTTCGTCGGGGCGTTTGAATTCGTTGTTCTCATGGGATCCTCAACGTTCACTACGTCATCGAATTTGTTAGTGATACAAGAAATAACAGCGGTATTACGAATAACCAGCGGACTTTGTTAACGTAAACGTAAGCATTATTGAATTGAGCTCAATTACTTTGTATTAATTATTTCAACGAATTATAGGATAGTAAAACTATCATAAACTCGGAATCATCACTCCACGTCAAATAAAAAGAATTAAATTTATTCGCAATTGAAATGCGAATATGTAAATAATGTATGAATATTGTGTGAATGTAGTTATGATCATGTATGAATATTGTATGAATGTGGTTGTGATCACGTATGTATGTATTTAGTTTAAGAGGTTTTAACTATTTAAAATAATGTATTATGGCCAAAGGAAATACTATGTTTATTATTTCAATAATCCTTCCTTCTCGTCGTGTGATTCGGGAGCTTAAGGAAGTTATGCTCTACTGACTGTGAAAAGCCATTTTGAGTATGTGTTGTCATTTTAACATATATATAATTTTACAAGACACAGTACAAGTCAATGTTTTCTTATCGATTTTCATAACGACGGGCCCGACGAGTATTCTTATAAAGTTTATTTGAACTTTATTTCATCACAGGTTGTGATATTCGTATCACTTATAATATAATTAATAGTTCGTACTCTCGTGGTCTTGTCGCGTTAATGAGTAAGAATTCGTTTCTTTTCAAATTTACTCTAATTGTTAATATGAAATAAATCGATAAATCAAGAACATGTAAATATAAGTGAAGTTCCAAGGAAAGTCAGACACTGCCCTAGTTTCTTATGGTGCGAATTGTCCCATAAGCAGAGCTAAAGTCTTCCTTATAAAGGATATAATTCAGCCCAAGTTTCTTATAGCGCGAAATGTTCTATAAGTTGAGCATGAATTATAGGAAAGTAGAGGTCTTGCTCAGTTAATCACAATGAGAGTAAGACCTTAGGCATTAGCCAAGTTTCTTCAATCTCATGCGCTCACTTTGCATAAGGCTAGGAGTGAATACCAGCCTGTGCAATAATGAGCATATTTAAACACAGATTTTTCCGTCTATTTTCGCAGGAGAGTTCTCTTCGAGAAGTTTTAGATTCTTCGAGAAATATTCGTGAATTTTGAGAAATGAATTTTCTTAATTTACAAGTAAATAAACATCAATACTAAAGTTTCAACACATGTAAACTTTACAAAATTAGTAATTGGTCGATTTAGTGTAATTTACAATTATCACAAATAGTATCGTCGAAAGTTATTAACTAATAAAATTAATTAATGCAATATTTACAATAGATCAATATTAAATTTTTACATAACTTTATCGTTTATTAATTTTAGAAGTAATTTCTAAAAAGAAATACTCAAATTAGTTAATAACATTTAAATTGTAAGAAATTTTCATATTTGTAACGATTTTTTCTATAATCTTATAACGTAATTACTAGATTAATTATTTAACATTTATAAATTATAACGCTATCATTATTATGTATAAAATTAACGCTTTCGTTCTATATACAACTTAATGTTTAAATAAATTATTGATTATTTATTTATTATTTAGTTATTATTAAACTGTTATTAATGAAACCAATTCTTACTCATGTTTCTTAGATATTCATTTTGAATATGGAGTATTCGCATTTTTCTAATAATTAATATTTATAGTGCAATAAACAAATTAACTTTGTATATTAAAAATCATTATTATTTAATAATCAAACGCAATTCGTATTATTATAATCTAAATCTATGTACTAAAATCTTAATAAGAAATGCTTTGTTATATCAAAATTACGTCTAATTAACATATTTTATTCAAAAAACAAAAACTATTATATCTATATCTATCAGTCTGTGACGTCACGCTCCTTACATGGTCATGAAATTAGACTTTTGTACTAATACTAGAATCATACAGCGCGCTTCGCGCGCCTAATATTATTAAGATTTACTAATAGACAGAAGAAAATGTTTACGAATAAAGCTCTTTGAAAACATAATTTTTAACATTATTATTACGTTGCTGATTTCCAAGAAAAATTTTTAGCGTATCCCACGAGCGCACTCTCGACATTGCTACGTACAATTGACCATGATTAAACACATCTCTACGAAGATCAATAACAATATCATCAAACGTTTGACCTTGAGCTTTATTTATTGTCATTGCAAACGCTAATTTGACAGGAAACTGGCGTCTTTTGAAAGTAAATGGATACTCATTTGTACAAAATAATGAAATTCGATTTAAGAATACAATATTCTTTGATTTGTCTCCAGTTAAAATTTCACATTTCAACAAATGGTTAGAAAAATCTAATACTCTCAAACGTGTACCATTACACAAACCTTCATGAATACTTAAATTCCTAATTAACATTACAATACAGTTTTGTCTTAATCGTAATTCATGTGGAGGCAAACTGGAAGGATTTAATGAGTTTAGATATTCTGGTAAAAGTACTTCGTCAAATTCACCATTGTAACAATTTTCGGTGCTATCAATACTGGTATAAATATGTTCAGTAGTTTCGTCTAATAAATCAGTAACTAATCTATTTAATTCATCAACGTCAATGTTTCGGGCGGACAAAATAGCACATTTACTCATTGCATCGAATTTCTTTTCTATGATCAATCGTTGAAACACACTAAGAACTATATCATCACTTTTTTTTAAAAGACAGTGATCAGGTAAAACTAAATTGTCATTTTGATCGTTCAGAGTTCCGTCACCAACTAACAATAAGAATTTAGCGAAATCAATTTCATGAGGTAAGACTCTTATATTTGTGGTAAGATTGTATTTGTGGAAATGTTGCCATAATAAGCTATATTTAATAGAAAGATTTAGAGTTTCCGTGCGTGTTCCATTAAGTTTAATGGGAAGAAGTTGTCTAAAATCACCGCCTAAAACCATAATTTTACCTCCAAAAGGTGAGTCATTGCCCATGATATTTTGTAGAGTTCTGTTTACTATTTCTAGTGCATATCTCGGAGCCATAGGCGCTTCGTCCCAAATAAAAACTTTTGTTTCCATGAGTAGACGACCTTCCTTAGATTGTGCTGTAATGTTTGATGATGAATCGCTATACATTGGAACAGGAAGACCAAATGTTTTGTGCACTGTTTTTCCTTTTGGAAGTAATATTGCTGCAATACCAGTAAAAGCCATTGAAGATACTTTAATATCTTGTGAACACAATAAATTGTAAATAGTTGTATAAATAAAAGTTTTTCCGGACCCTCCTGGGCCATTGATATATATGCAATTATTGTCATGATTATTGTTATTAATAGCTTTATCTAAAACAATATCAACAATTTCTTTTTGCTGTTCATTCAATAGCTCATATTGTTTTTTACCAATGTCTGCAAATTCTGTTTGTGATAATTCATTATCATTTTCCGGTAATAAATGTGTAATCACTGTTTGATCCATAGAAGGTAAATCAGACAAACTTTTACCTTCACAATTTAACAAATTATTTATTTCAGAGTATGCCATTTCATGACTCACAACAGAATTATTTGTCCGTGAAAAATCTTCAGATAACGCGTTTTTAAATTTATCCCATAATACTTCAGGATGTATTGGTTGGCAGTGTATTAAAATTCGAGTAAATAGTTGTCTAAGTCGGCGTGGCATCATCCACATTGATGCTTCTTCGATTGCTTTGGCCCATTCTTGATCATCTTCTATTAGCCCAAGTTCTAAGCATGCTGCTGTAAACGTAGGTTGGACTATGCCATTAACTGTTTTAAGCGAATCAAAGCTGGTAGCTCCTTTTACGTGCAATAATAACAGTCGCAAGTGAAAGAGCTCTATTTGTGTAGGACTGACAGAAAACATTCGCCCAATACAGTTAAACTGTTTTTTACGTGTAGCCCATTTAGATGTCATGATCCCATTAATTTTTTCTTTTTTATAAGTAAAAAAAGATGCAATATCGCTGTAAAAATACTTGCGCGCATTTTCATTTTCAATGTTTAATTTGAAAAAATCAAGTAGCTTACTACTTGCTTGATTTAGGTTTTCTACAAAATTGTCTACATTAGAAATTATAACGGACTGTCGATTTGGTAAATGAATTGGTAATCTTTCGACAGCGTGACTTTTATCTTGTAATGGCTTACTGAAAATTCTATAACATGCTTCAACGGGTCCGACATACCGAGTTTCTATAAAATTAGCAACCTCATCATGGCTGATAGTTTTAGATACATTTTCACTTCCAATAGTTACAGTAGCTGCGTCGTGCCCTTTATAAATGTATTTATATAAGTATTTTACAGCTCGAACACTTGAAACAATTTCCACATTTATGTGACAGTTGAACATTTTTAATAAATCACGGCAATACGGTACAACCCATCGATTATCAATGACGTGACCGTTAGGTAGTTCATAAGTGACGCCGTCATTTTTCCTTTGGTAATGAGGATATCCGTTTTCATCCATAATTGTTTCATTTTGAAAATTTTTTGGAAATTTGTTTGAACATTTGTTGTTTATCATACACCAATCACCGCAAGGTGCATGAGTCATATTTTTTACAACGATATCATATAAAAGAGGATCGCGTTCTTTATCAGGAAGTTCAGCTGATATGAATTTGTTAACAATTTCAGGTGTGGTTATTTTATAAGCATATTTTAAAGTAAGCAATAAGTGCATATGTGGTAGACCACGTTTTTGAAATTCAATGACATAAACATAAGATGCTACATCTCCAAAAAACTTCCCTTTCACGACTACATCAAGCAAACAATTCTTTTTCAAATGGAATACGCGAGCTACAATATCAGGTCTATCACAGGTTTGTTGACCCGGTAAAAGATTTTCTTGTAGCTCTTTCCATCTAGGATTGCAAGTCATTGTAAGAAAGATGTCAGGTTTACCAGTTTTACTGACTAAAGCCATTGCATCCTGATAATTTTGTTGCATATGGCGAGGGGATCCTAAAAAAGTCGACGGTAAAATTACAGTTTTGCCAACTTGGCCGTCAATGTCATTAGTAGATTTATGTAAATAATCGTGTAGTCCTTGGTAGGTATCTGCTTTTATCTGTTTTTGATTATCTTTGCACCACTGAATCCTGTCTTTTTCAATTTTAACGTAAGCATCTACAACCCACTGTTGAAATAATCAACGACCGAATAAAATAGCGTTAAATTCATCTGGCCTTACAGCAATTTTAAATTTAGTGTAAGCCAAACGTGTTACTCGACGATTTATATCATTATCATTGATCTTGATACGTTCTAAATTTCTATGCCATCCTTGTGATCCATAAGGGTAAAATAATGGATAAATCCATGGTTCAACATTTGGATCCATAGTACTAACGCATTTTAACACTTTTGTATTTTTATTCCTAATAGTTACATAAGACTCTGGGATTTCACCATCAGGTGTTGTCGAAAAAATAGCAGCAACTTCATTTGTTCGCTGTAAATTGAATCTTCGTCTATCAAATCCTGGTTTTAAGGAAAATAGTAGTTGTAATTCTGGTTCATGTTCCTCATTCATCAGTGATCTCTGATTGTTTATTTCTTGTTTCATCATTTCGTAAGATTGTGCAAAAATATTATTTTCTCTTATTACTTTATCTAAAATTGAAAGCGTTTCTTGATCAAGATGAGGATTTTGGATTTTTCTAACATTAAGAGCTTCTTCTTGATCAACAAAAAACAGTTGTCCATACACCGGATTTTCATTTTCACAAGGATAAAGAGATGTATTAATTTGATAGTAAATTTGTCCATGAATTTTGAAACAATAAGGTCCAGGACGGCGTGATTGAAAATTAACCAGATTAGCATTAAAAGAGGCGAATGAAAGTGAATTATTATAATAACGAATGTTTTCAAAAAAATTATTCGATTTAGGATGATTTCCATTAAATAGCCTATACAGTTCTGGAGGAAAATCTAATATACTTTCTAAAGCTACAGCCCCATGAGAACAACAATCATTAAAAGAAAAACCTTTATTTGCCACCTTTTCTGAAACAAAATGTACTGCTTTACAATGTATACACAATATATCCATTTTTCCTAAATAATTTTTTCCACTACAGCATTTAGTTGTTGATCACTTACACAGTAGTTACTACGTGCAGCTTGTTCATTATTCGTAATATTATCATTATCGCGTATAGCTTGACGTCTAATTCTCGCATTTTCAGAACGTTTTAACCGCTTTTGAATTTGATAATTTTTTTCCTCTTCTGGAGTACGTATAATTTTTCTTTTACCCATTTAGAAAAATCAAAATGACTAAATCAGAACTTTTATCTGTACAATAAATACAAAATTGTTTATGAATATGTGTATAGGCTATTAACGGAAGGTCAAGGATTGGTAACTAAAATAACTCTTATTAACATATCATGATGTCACAGGGATTATGTAAAATGAGTGTAGACGATAAACGTTATTTATATTTTATTTTTATGATTGTAGAATGGTGTACATAGAATTTTGATTATTAAGCAATTGTTTTTTTTTATTCTGTATGTTTTTGTTAGTATATGCTTAATTTTTTTATTATATATAAATGCTTACTTGGCTGTAACTTAAATTTCAATAGTCGAAAATTTTGATTGATATTATAAATAAAGGCTTGGTTGATTGTCAGTAAAATTGAAATAGTCAAAAAGTCAGATTTAATGTCAGATTTAATTTTCTGTGACTGTAGACTTTTGAAGTAAAAGTCAAGTAAAATCTTTTCCTTCGTTTTTATTTGCTCATGTTTCTCTGTATTTCTAGATATAATTCTCTGTATTTCAGATATAATTCGACGACTGAATCACAATATTTTCTGTAAAAGTCAAATTTCCGCTATAGTTTAATATTTCTCATAAAAATACCATTCTTTTAAAATCAAAAAAATTATGGCACCACAGCAACCTGAAAAAAAATCAAATGACTTATTACATACGTAGAATCATAAAAAGAAATTAGAAAATAAGATACATTGGTATATTTTTAGAAGATTTTACATGTGTAAAGAAAGTGCTTAAAAATGTATAGCATACATCGTAATCACATATTCTTTGTGAAAAAAAGTGCAATGTATTAAAAATTCATGTTGGCATATTACTTGTAACGAGCGTCGCTCGTTAAAGGTGTGACCTAAGCGCCCCTATCGCGTGCAGCTACCTAAAAGCCGGTCCGCAGAAAAGAACACGAGAAGGAGAAGCGCCCGCGAGGCGAACGAGCGAAGGAGCGAGAGAGAGGAGAGAGATTAGGACGCCGAGCAGCGCGAGTTAGGCGCGTGTACCGCGAGACATTAGAAATAATAGGAAGGGGAAAGAGAGCGATCGGGCCGCCGGCCGGCGTGCGCGCGACAACGGAAGAGGGAATGGGGAAAGTCAGTCAAGTCCGGACCTGCGGACAGCGAGAGCACAAGTGACGAGTGATTAAGACAGTGAGATTCGAGGAGCAACCCGACCGATAGCGTACGCAGACACAGTGCCCCAGAGATCGCCCAGAGAACATCTCTCGGATAAAGGTCCTTTCGCTGCCCATTATCAGTTGCCCAGAGCGATCTGAGGCAACAGCCGAGGGTCGCGGGCAACTGCAGATTCGGGCGGCGAAAACCCCGACTGAGAGGTCCGTCTCCGAGAAGTGGCAAGGATCAACGCGGCCTGCGCGCACCACCAGAGCTACTCGGTCCCCAGTGACTTGTCCCCACAGCGTAAGTCTCCGACTTTGTACGTAAATGCGTGCGGACGGAAAGCGCGGTTAGATAGTGCGCCTTCTTTCTCTCTCTCGCCGCGTGCGCAAGACACTCGACAAAATCTCTCGGCCGTGGCGTTGTGATTGTACGATCGAAGCGACAAGCATAAATAAAGACATCGATTCTTCTAACAAACGACCGAGAGTTCTTTCTTTCAAATCCCCTTGGTTTTTCACTCCCGACGCCCACGACAGAACCTGCCCGACCACGAGTCACTGGGCAACCCGGATCTCCACACGTGCCTTGCACGTGTAGGTTATTCACAGGCTCTGGGGCGGAACGTCGAAAGATCGACGCCGTTCGAACGAGTTGATCGAGGCGGCGGTCAGCCTCGCGACGCTGGGAACAACCATCCCTTAACGGGTAAGATTTCCGTTCACTCCCCGAACGAAGTATCCCGTTACAGTGGCGCCCAACCAGTGGTAAGGGTAAGGAGTGAAATCTCCATTAAAACACTCACGTTCCTTTTACAACCTGAGAGAGAAAGATAAAGATAGGTCGAACAAAAATTGTAAGAGCGCACGTGTAGAGCTTGAGAACGCGCGACTCGAAAATACAAGTTCGCCGAAGAAAATTCCAGCCTGATCGGAAACAAAGATTGCGCAACTCTTGTAAGGCCGAGAGTACATAATAACAACACCGACCAGGCAGGACAAAGAGCGGTCACGAGTGAAATATAAGCATCAAATTTCAAGAATTTGAGAGAGTTAGGCTTAGGCCGATGTAAACACCGGCCTAGGTCAAATTCACAAAACATAACGCGCAAAGACACAATCCTAAGAATTCCACTGGGATATTACCTCCTTTTATCGCTGTTTTCCTTTTTCTCACTCAACCGCCCAGCGACGAGCTTGTATAAAACAGCGCGCCCAAGAAACTAACAATAATTTCGCCAGCAAATAGCTGACGAAATTAATAGGTAGGACAATTGTAAACAAAAAGCATAGTAAGGCGCGCCTACGAGTCGCGCGCGAATAAATCGGCCAGTCAACAAAGTAGCTTGCATTGTCGAAGTCATCCCGACAAGTAGATAACGACCAGCCGCATATTACCAAAAAAAAGGGCAAATACACGTGCGCGCAATAAACGAACCCAAAAACAGAGAAACAAACACGCGTTTTTGTCTCTCTGTTGAAAAAGAGTTCCGTAACGACAATGTCCAACCTCGACGACACAGCGGCGGAAATCGAAGCTTTCATCGAAGGCATACCCCAACCAGAGCTCGAGCGAACGTTAAATCAACTAGAGCTCAAACAGGCGGGAGAGCGCATCGACCAGGAAGAAAGGTTAAAAAACTGGTTGATGGGGGACTACACAGCAGCCGATTTTGATATAACCAAAACAGCAAAGCAGACATCGGACACGATAAGAAGGATAGCCCTCCGAACCAGATACATAGAGCAAGAGTGCACAGCACTAGAAAAAACGCAAGCAGCAGAAGCAAGCAGCCACCCTCTTTACAGGCTTATGACCGACGACAAAATCAACACAAAACTAAGCCTCACAACAGGAGCAGTAATGCAAAACGCAGCAGCAAATAATGCGCGGGGCGAGGAAGGCGAAAAGCCCACTCGCCCAAACGCGCAAACATCACAGCTCACTGACATCGACCAAAACCTACAGCAAACGCTACCCGAGTTGCTAAGCCTATTCGCCAAATATAAAGAACGCACAGACTATTTGGAAAAAGCGCTAACGCGAGCGATGGAAAATACATCGTCAGTAGCAGCAATGTGCCAATCAATATGCGCTACACAAGCAATAGAAGCAGATAAATTGAATAGAGCTGTACATCGGATAGGCGTACTGGAAAATGACCTCGATGATATGATAGAAACAGGCAAGGAAAGTAGTCAAAGCCCACAAGCGCCGGCGAAATCAGTAAACTTCGCGGACACCTTCACGCTCCACTATGATTCCGCCCTGCCGGGTAGCACTCCCCTCCGGGCGAACCCGACTCCGGGCGCTCGGTGGCCCAACGAGCGCCCCCCAGTTCCGCCCTCAGGAGGGAGTGGACAGCAGAAGACTAACGACTCCTCAGCTGATCGCGCCGTCGGACAAACAAACTATTTTCCACACAACGCGACGGCCAGTTTTGCTTTCCCAAAAGACGTCGGCAGAATAGTCCGAGGCTGGCGAAATAAATTCTCGGGGGAGGATCAGCAGAGCATCGACGTATTTCTCGAGAAACTCGAGGCACAAAGGATATCAGCGGGGCTGACTGAGGACGAAACGTTAAATGGGCTAGCGGATTTATTCACGGGAGCAGCGCAAACATGGTACCTAAATAATAACAGAGATTGGACTTCATACGGAGACTTCATCCGCGATGCTCAAGAATGGTTCGGCACGAGTATACAACAGCAACAACGCTTGAAAAGAGAAGCACAAGCGAGGTACCAAGGACCCGACGAGCCCGCACGAATCTACCTGACGAAGATACAAGCGATGATGAATAAAGTCCAACCCCCAATGCCTCCGGAGGAAGTAATGGAGTTGGCCTATTCGAACCTGCTGCCGGAAATCCAACAACACATTCGGAGGAAGGAATGCTCGAACATACGAGAATTATGCAAACGAGCAACTGAAGTCCAGAACGATCTCCATTACGCTCATCAGAAGCGACAGATGATCGATCCAAAAACAGCACTCTTTCCCGAATGGATGTATCAGTCCCCCTCGACTACCACCTCCACCCTATCCCAGCCAAAAAGGACCAAGGTTTCTGCCCTGGCGGCGGAAAAGGACGAGGCAAAAATGGAGGCGAACCAAGCTCACCTCTCAGCAACGCCCAGCAACAGTGGAACCGCGGCCCCGATGAGCCAAGTGGAGGAGCTGCTCACGCGCCTATTGAGGGAGGAGTTGGCGAAGGCCCTCCCGCCCAATGAGGGTAGCCAGGGCCGCACCAGCCATACGACCCAGGGAGCGAAGTTTAACCCCAAACCTAAGAGGGCGGTGGACTATACGAAGCCGCTCAAGTGTGGCAAATGCGGCAAGCTAGGGTATAGCGCGAGATATTGTCCCGACTGCAATAAGCCCGCCGGGACGGGAAACGAGTAGGGCAGCGGCTAGGAGGAGCCCAGGCCGCTCCCAACGTTAAAGGGCTCCCCCAGGCAAGGCAGTCGCGCGAGGAGCTCTGCCGCGCGCTGCCCGTGGTTTCGCCCGGCGGTAGCGAAGCAGCGCCGAGGGATGGAGTGACGGATCAACTCTATGGCCTCGCGACAAAGGCTGATCGCGCGGACGGAGCGTCATCGGAGGGAACCCACCCGGAAAGCGAGGCAGTGCCTCGCTTACAAGAAGAGGAGAGT